TGTTTCTTGAAGTGTCAATCAGTGATTCTACATTAGCATGTCACTAATAGCCATGAATAATTCGACAATGCAGTGCATGTCTAGGAAAGCAGTTGATTGGGAATGGAAAGATTCGAGTAGAAAGGGAAGACGACTAAAATTTAGTAATTTAACTTGTATTCATAGGTCGACCACTACACTTACCATGAGGGTATTGGGTGTAATTGTGAATACAATGTTATATGAGAACTCGAGTTTGCCTTTTTCGAGGATGAGGGATCGGATAAGTAGCTACTAGAATAGCGAATGATGTCTGGGGTATTGCAAGTAATAATAAGATCCTCATGGTAGTAGTGAATCCTTTCTGCATGTGATTGGATTTCTACATGGAGCTGTTAAGAAACCTTAAAGGGTTTAAAAATATATTATAGCTCTTTATGCTCACAGGTCGCACGAACTACTTGTCTATATGAATTAAGTGTGTTATTTATTCATGATACTGGTTTGAGTTCCAGCCCATTATGAGCAAACTGGGAGATGTTGGGTATTAAATTCAGATACTGGGTCGCTCTATATGGGCTAACCTAACCCATTTGGGAAGAGATAGAGTTTGAGAATAAAATAACTTCTTTGAAGATATTACTACACGTTTGGGTGTAGTTGAGAGCAGTTTTCTCAAAGCAGTTAATTTCTTTCCCTGTAAAACTTATTTTGGTCTTCCTATTCCAAGGAGAATGAACGAACAATAAGAAAGAAAATTACTCTGCATTTCTTATCAATCTTCTTCTTTAACAGAGAAGAGTTTTCTCCTTCTTTTGCAAAACATACATCAAGAAAGACATTTAGTTAGTGGAAGAGTCAATACCTTAAAATCCCCCCTAAATTATCATATTTTTGTCAGTTTTCTATTTAAACTATTCGTTGTCTCTAAAATCCCCCTGAACTATATACCTTTCGTACTAAAACCTCTTTGTTGCATTCTTAGAGGTGCGTCTAGTACACACTCTAAATTATCAAAGAAACTTGCCATGTGGCACTACATGTGGCTATTTAGCCCAGCCTAAAACCCCCATAAACTATAACTTTTTATCAGTTACCTACTTAAACTATCCAGTACCCCCAAATTCCCCTTGAACTGTGTTAACATATTGTTCAAAAAGAGATTCATATTTACCACACCTATCACTTCTTATCATTTTGATTTTCTTATTAAGTTGCGTTTCAACTTCATTTTTGTATTACTTGAATGTGTCTATTGCTTCATCATTAGTATTAAGTAAGTAAACATAGCAATATCGAGTACTATCATCAATAAAAGTTATGAAATACTTCTTTCCACCATGAGATGGTATTGACTTCATGTCGCAAATATCTATGTGAATTAAGTCTAAAGGATCTTAATTCCTTTCAACTGACTTATAATGATATTTAACATACTTAGATTCCACACATATTTGACATTTTGATTTGTCGCATTCAAACTTAGGCAATACTTCCAAGTTAATCATTTTCCGCAAAATTTTATAATTGACATGACCCAAACGTATATGCCATAATTCATTTGACTCAAGTAAGTAAGGCGAAGTTGAAATTTTATTATTATTCTCAACAACCATTACATTCATCTTGAAAATGCCCTCAGTGAAGTAACCTTTTCCTACAAATATTTCGTTCTTACTTATTACAACCTTATCGGATACAAAAACACACTTAAAATCGTTTTTAACAAGAAATCCAATAGAGACTAAATTCTTCCTAATCTCAGGAACATTAAGCACGTTGTTCAAAGTCACCACCTTGCCAGAAGTAATCTTCAGAAAGATCTTACCACATCCTTCAATCTTGGCGGTTGCAGCATTTCCCATAGAAAGTGTCTCTTCGGGTCCAACAGGAGCATATGTAGCAAAAGCTTCCCTAACAGCACAAACATGGCGAGTGGATCCAGAATTAATCCACCACTCCATAGGATTTCCCACCAGGTTGCATTCATAAAGCATATCACAAAAGTCATCAACATCTTTATGCTTTTCAACCATGTTTGCTTGACCCTTCTTCTTGTCTTTCTTCGGAGCACGGCACTCCATAGATTTGTATCCAGCTTTTCCACAGTTGTAGCAATTTCTGTTGAACCGCTTCTTGCTTGGGTTGCTTTTCGGTCCAGAAGCATGCTTCCTCTTTCTCTTATTTTGAGAAGTATCCACAACAATGTTTGCTCCCATTATTGTTGAGTTTCCACGACCTCTCTTTTCAGCAGCTTTATTGTCCTTTTCGATTCTCAACCGAACAATGAGATCTTCAAGCGACATCTCCTTGCGTTTATGTTTCAAGTAATTTTTGAAGTCCTTCCACAAAGGAGGTAACTTCTCAATCATCGTTGCTACTTGGAATGCTTCATTGATGACAAGACCTTCAATGAAAATTTTGTTAGTAAAAATACTAAAATTACTACTTTCAACATCATTATTAATTCGACTCCTGGACAATATACTGTTCAGCCATAAAATTTTCAAGGGCTATGGCAGAAAAGGTTTATTCCCTAGATTTGTACTAAAAGTGGACCTTAGGAAAGCACATAACACATTAGAATGGAGCTTTATCAAAAGAGCCATGGTCGATCTTGACTTTCCCCACAAATTTGTGCAATGGGTCATGAAATGTATAACTACTGTTTCCTATTCTTTGGTCATCAATGGAGGGCTCACCATGCCTTTTCCTAGGCAAAGAGGAATCAGACAAGGGGACCCTATGTCCCCCTATCTCTTTGTCATATCTATGGAGTATTTGCAAAGAGAGATGAATCAACTGATCACAAATGGTGATTTTAATTTCCATCCAAAGTGTAGGAAACTGGGAGTCACTCATATTTATTTTGCTGATGACTTGCTTATGTTCTGTAGAGCAGATAAACAATCTGTTAGGCTATTGAATAGTACTTTTCAAGCATTCTCACAAGCTTCAGGTCTACATGTTAATGCTACCAAAAGCTCCATTTACATAGCTAGTGTGACAGAGGACATTAAACAAGACATAGTGCAGCTCTTGAGTTACTCCCTGGCTGATCTACCTTTCAAATATTTGGGGGTTCTATTGTCATCTAAAAAACTCTCAGTGGTCCAATGTCTGCCTCTTATTGAAAAGATTACTGCTAGGATGAAGTGTTGGTCTACCAGACTCCTCTCTTATGCAGGCAGACTTCAGTTGATAAAGTCTGTAATATTTGGAATACAAACTTATTGGGCACAGATCTTTGTGATACCAAAGAAGGTAATGAAAGCTATTGAAAGTCTGTGTAGAACCTTCTTATGGACTGGAATGATTAATCTATCAAAGAAAGCACTGGTGTCTTGGGACAAAGTGTGTTTACTTCAAGCAGCTGGAGGATTGAATGCATTGAATCTATGTATATGGAACAAGGCTGCAATAATAAAGTGGTTATGGTCAATTGCACAGAAAAAGGACTGTCTCTGGATAAAGTGGGTACACAGCTACTACATCAAGAAACAAACTCTTGACTCATGCCCTATACTTAAGACAGCAAATTGGGTAGTTAGAAAGATTATGGAAACTCGAGATATGGTTATATAATAGGTTATGGTACAAGGTGACTTACTTGTAAAGCTAGGAACAATGCAGAACATGGATGGTTCCTTCTCTATTAAAAATATGTACCTACACTTGATACCTCGGCACCTCAAAGTCCCCTGGAAAAGCCTTACACTGCAGCAAAACATCCATCCACGAGTGAAATCTGTCTAATGGTTAACAGTACCAAATAGGCTGGCAACAATGGATCGACTGCAGATGATAGGCATACAAGCTCCTATGGCTTGTGTATTTTGTCATGGTGGTATTGAAACTCATGCACATCTATTCTTTGAATGCCCTGTTACAGGTGCATTGTGGCTGAGATTACTGACCTAGCTTGGGCATATCAGGAACAGAGACGATGCCAAACATGAATTGCAATGGATATGCAGTATGGCCAAGAGGAAAAGTGGACTGGGAGCTATCACCAACTGTGTATATGCAATGGCAGGCTATGTCATATGGAGGGAGAGCAATCTACTAAGGTTCCATAAGAGCACCTATGATGAAGATAGAGTCAGTAGAGAAATAGCAGTACATATTCACATTAGAGGACAAAACCTTAGGAAATGGCGCAAGTCTTTGAGTCTGTTGAGTTCATACCCTTAGTGAGATAGCTGAACATTTCCTTGATTTCCTATTGTTAGTATAGCTAAGCTAGGGACTGTTAAATATAATTAGGAGTGCAAGAGGTCGGCTCTTTGCCTAGAGTCTGCAAATGATACTTTTTTTTGGTTAATAAAAAAGCTATTTACCAAAAATAAAAATAAAAAAAATAGTGGACATAAACATCAATATCCCACATAAAGTTCAGGAAAACCCCCAAATGTTTTCCTAAATCTGTTCTAAATGATCTCAAATTTGAAACAAAGTTTTCAAATACAAACACAAATAATCCTCTATCACCAATTTAGTCAAATAATACCAAATCAAAAAGATCTACTTTGTCTTCTTCAATATTTTACAAAGTCCAATAATAGAGTTTTGAGATTTTACTGTAAATTGCGAAAATTTGTGTTTGAACTAAAAGTTTAATCATAAACTACCAAAATTCAGATGATTTTAATAATAATGGATCATTAACTTCTATTTTTCACTCCTAAATAAGATTTTCAGGCTTTAAAATTTAAAAAACCATGGTGTTCATGTCAGAAGTGGTGGGTACACGCCGTGCAAATTTCCTTCCTCTTTTTTTTTAAAAAAAGAGTGGGACTTGTGAAAAATTTTCTTTTCCAATTTTGCTACAATTACATATATTCTGGGTACATATTACCCTCCCCAGACCCCACGTGTGGGATTATACTGGGTTGTTGTTGTTGTTGTTGTTGTTGTTGTTACATATATTCCTTGACCAACTGCCAAGTTTTATATTACTGACTAGATGTTGGTTGCCCGTGCAGAGCACGGGCCCAACGACCAACACTTCAACAACAGAATCCTAGAATACGTGATCTACTTTATTAATTAACACCAAATGTTATGTAGTAAGTTATATACATCTTGTAAGTTAGTCAAAAAGTTAACAGGTGCAGACATTTGCCTTCTTGTGTGTATATCGTCGATGCATCTTCAAATCTGTATTTGCATTCTCGTGTGTATATTGCAACTTCAGAACATCAGTAGTTTGTTTCTTTTAGCTTGCCCATAGTATTCAAGCAGGTACTGCGTTCGAACGTCCTTGTGTTCCTATCTTCGTTTCAAAAGCTGCCGGTAGCACCTCTTGGATCACCAGGCGTGATTCCATTTAACTACAAACATAGATAAAATACTTGCATTGTTGAGTAGCTATGGGACAATGCAAAGAAAAACTTATGTCTTCTGAGTTACTGGAGTAAAGTTAAAATCTATTACACAAGGTATAACTTTTTGTCAGACAATAATTGTGCAATGTTGTTCAAATAAAATCAATAACTATGGAGAGGAGGGCTAGAAGTAAGGAGCCTATATACATTTCCATATAAGTTCAATTGCCAGTTATGTGAAGGAGGGCTTAAGGTTAAAAGCTTATAGCAAGAGCTGACAAAGTAGTTGCCATCATTATCCTTTTTCCTGATCATTCTGTTAAATTCTGTTGTAGGAAGAGGAATCGCATAAAATCTGCAACATTTTATCAGCAATGCACAAAATGTCTTCATCAGTTATCCAGTAACTTAGTTTACATAGATAGATAAGCTTAGTAGAAACGTAGTTTTAGTGAGTATTACTATATATTGTCAGTGTATCCATGTCTCTGTTAAATGTCATAGAACCTTCTTATTTGATGCACAAATATTGATGCTCTCTCAACAAAAGAAAAAGTACGCACAGATTGTTCATACTTCTATTCACAGTAATGCAAGAGCTGCACATAAGTAGTTTTATAGTGAGTACTGAGTAGTACCATACGTTGTCATTGTAACCATACCCCAGTTAAATGTTATAGAAGGTTCTTATTCGATATACAAATATTGATGATAAAGTATTATTTCTACACAAAAGAAAAAGTACGGTCAAATTGTTCATACTTCTATTCACGACCAAGGCAACAGCTGCACATAAATAGTTTTATAGTGAGTAGTACTATATGTTTTCAGTGTAACCATGCTTCTTGTTAAATACTATAGAAGGTTATTATTTGATAAATAAATATTGATGGTAAGTGTTCATTCTCAACAAAATAAAAAGTATGGTTAGATTATTCATACTTCTGTTTATGATCATGGTAAGAGCCGCACATAAACATGAAAAATTAGTAAGTTTTTTTTTTTGGTAACTATCATTTTCATTAATTACCAAGTATCGTATTGACAAAGCTAGGCTATACAACTCAGCCCCATGTACATAATTCCTACCTCTATTTCACTGAGATACTCCTATACTACTACCATATTGCTAGTTTGGAAATCTATTCTCCATCAATCCATGTAGCCCTTCATTTGTTCGTACATAACAAATATAGGCAATATCTCTAGCAAGTAATTCTCCGGATTTCTCCTTCTTCATGAAGATTCTGAATAAGTAAGTTTGCCAAAACCAAGTTGGTACTCAGATGAATAAGTTAATAACAATACTGATCAATATAGGCGATATTACTACCTACATGTATCTGCATATGTTGCAATATAGGCAACAATACTACCTACAATGTAAGTGCTACATAAGAAGAAAAGGGAAAAAACATCATTCGGTGTATATGAGTAATGCTAAGTGCACGGTATTGATGTTAGATGTGTTTGATTTGGATTAATGAAGTTCACTTAGATAACACATCAAAAATGTATTAGAAGAAAAGAATCCACAATCCATGAGATACTGTAATTATAGAGTACCAGGCATTAAAAAGGTATACATATGCAACATCCTATAAAGAAATGAATGAGTCCCTTTTTAAAATACAAAGAGAGCATCAAACTTGACATGCATAGTGCCTTCCAGATGAAAGTGTCACAGAACCATCGAAGACAAATTGATGTTCTCCATATGGATATCCTAAAACGCCGGTCCATCAAATTAACCTTAAACATTATAATTCAACACCACAAACATCCTAACTTTCACTTCTTTCATTTCATTTAAATATGCAATCAACTTGGCTTTGTTTTGACGATTGGCTGAAGCGAGGATGGCCGAAGCCACGGCCTTTGCTTTTCTTAACTTTCTTCTTAGGATTTCCTGTTGTGCAATGGGAGATTGTTGAATAAATCTTATACTATGTACCTAAACTTCAATAGGACCATCACAATCTAACAACGGGGAAAAAGGCTTCACATTAACACACCATCACAATTACTAAATGGCAACAGTAACAGAATACCATTTTTGCTTTCACGAACAAAGAATTGTTTTAAAAGTTCATCGTGACTTACTTGAAAGAGTATCTTTTTGTCGGTTACCTCTCTTTGACGCTCATGTTTCCAACTTCCTCTTTATAATTTTGTTACGTTTATGTGAACAAACGACCATAGGCTGGGTTTGGTGTCTTCCTTGGAGCTTTCTCTTGTTCCATCCTATCAAACATCAGTTAAGAGGTAGATATTAGTGGAGGCATCACCTTCCACGTACACTTTCAAAGAGACCGAAGAAATTTTAAATCACTAACATGAAAATATTTGTCTCAAAGACAACAATAACGATGAAAAGTAAATATAGAAAATATTTCAATAAAAAAAGTTCATCATTATTTAGATTCCACTTAGAAAAGCGTAAATAAAGAACCTCATAAAAAAAGAATAACTTCGTCAAAAGAGAAACAGAATAGTGAAAGCAAATGCTCAACGCAATCACTAAGCACACAATAACATAATATGGACAAGGCATATCATCAAATACCATATGTGCAGAGTCTACTTCGATATTTTTTGTTACTTTGTCACGATATATGAAAGATTGGCTCCTTTAGTGCAATCAATTTTAGCCAAATTTATCTTCTTTGTCTGCATTGTTTCGCTTTCTAATTATCTGATTGGCTTAGGTATCCAAATGATTAAAACGAATTGGGGCATCTATTCCGGGAATTGTTACAGCGGAGAATCTATAATTCAAGTTGTTTTTGTGAAGTGTCATCTTCCACATCAGAAAGATATTTTTTTTGATAGTTTTATAAAAATTAACCCAAAATTAAAGGGGGGGAAAGTACCTTGGAAACTATAACCTAGATATATATCTTGTGAAACAGAGATAGAGAAGAAAAGCAGAAAAAAAACATAACAAACAATGAAAAAGAAAAGAAGTACCTTAGGATTTAGGTATGTGTAGAGAGAGAGATTGAGGGAGTGCTTCTTAAAAGAGAGAGACATTGATTCAAACTTCAAAGGGAAAGATACCGATGATGCAAAGATGTATCTATGACCCAAGTGAAAAATTTACCAATTTATCCCTCAATTTGGTCGACCAATGCAAGAACGGGCCCAACATATACATTTCTTTTTTCGTGCATTGGATATGATATAATCAGTACTATGATTGCAAGAAATACATTTGAATCAATGGACACAAAATCTTGCATTTTTAAGTTCGGTATTTCAAATGATTTTATCCATTATTAGCTAGAATATCTACCCACATGCTGGATATAGAATTAGACGCAGGGAAACATAAAGGAAATGTACACAACACTTTGTTATTAATAAAGTCTCGACAAACTGATGATGTGGCATGGATATTTAAATCCATGATTCAACACGCCGCTCCTGCCCATCACTGTCAAATGCTATATAAAAAAGCAAAAGAGGTGGTTTCAGTAATGTATCAAACTACAAATTCAACAAAAAGCACAAAAAGATAGGAATATAATATTGAGTCTGTTATACAAGTAGATGAGTTTGAATCTCAATTTGCGTTAGCATAGTCAAATTATGATGTAGCACAAAAAGCATACAATATTGAATGTGAAACTCTTTCTTCCCATAAAAAGGTCCATAAGACATATCCTTGTCCAAGGACAACATACCAAAGTATATTAGCTTTGCCATAGCAGCTCTTTTCCTTCATTCGACCAAGTACAATTTAGTTTCTATTTTTACTGTAGCATGCTAGCAATATACATCACTTAAACAGTGCAATACTGTCACGACCCATAATCCCATTCCGGTCGTGATGGCGTCTCTCATGAAGATAAGGCCAGCCAAACAACTCGGATTTGCCTTTTCAAAAATAGTAAAACATGAATAAACAGTCTAAATATGATTAAATATTAATAATTAGTGGAAATACAACCCAATCACAGCCCAAATCGGGTATCACAAGTCACGAGCATTCTACAAGAATGAAAGTTACACTTTACAGTCTAGAAATACACTGAACAAGAATAATGAACAAATATAGGAAGACAGTGGTGTTGCGAACGCTGGCAGTCACCTCGCTATAACCTCTACAACTCTGCCTCCACGCAGCCAATACCCGTTACGGGGTGAATAAATACCTGCAACTGCACGCGAGGTGCAGGGAGTAAAGTGAGTACTCCAACTCAGTGAGTAATAAAAGTAAATAACAACTGAGCGGTAAGAAATCACGTATAGCAGATCATCATGCCGTATAGAAGCAGAGAAAAATCCTTTTTGAGAAAAGCAGTGAAGATATGAAGTCTTTAAAGAAACCTTTTAGCTCAGTTTAAAGACTCTTTTAAAAATGTCTTTTTCAATAGTTACGCAAATGAATGCAGTAGCAATAGTGCATATAAGCACAGAAATCCGCCCCTCGGGCCCCACACTCAATGTCAGATAATACCAGAATAGCAGGTAAAGAATTTCAAGAAGTAGCACAACAACAGATAATGAATAAATGCATTAGTGCAATGCAAATGCATATGTCGGTACACTCTAGTACCCGCTGCGGCATACAGCCCGATCAATTTAACGTCGACGGCGCTCACTAGGGGTGTGCAGACTCCGGGAGGGGCTCGTACAGCCCAAGCGCAATATCAAGTCATCTCGTGGCATCGACCAGGCTCTCGGCCTCAATATCAATATAATCAACCAGGCTCTCGGCCTCAATATCAATATAATACCGCTGCGGCGCACAGCCCGATCCATGCTCAGTCCAGAAATCATCTTAAGCCCCTTGGGCATTTGTAAAACAGTAGTTCTCATCCCCAAAATATCATTTAAGTTTTCAAATCTTAGAAAGATGGCTGAGTTGCAAAACAGTATTTAAAACCTTGAACCGAGATCAAATAATATGCAAAATATGTAAAAACAGTGATATCAATCCCTGAAGGATTCAAATAATTGGCGTGAAGCCCAAATATAATAAATAAATCCAAGTAGGATGATTATCAAGTAAGGTCTAGTTGAAAACACAATAGAAACATCTCTCGGGACGGACCAAGTCACAATCCCCAATAACAAACGATTCCGCACTCGTCATAGGGTGCGTGTCTCACCTCAATATAGCACTACGATGTGCAAATCCGGGGTTTCAAACCCTCAGGATATCATTTACAAGCATTACTCACCTCAAGCATGCTGAAATCCTAGCTCGCCACTCCCTTGCCTCTCAAATTAGCCTTCTCGTGCGACGAATATGCTCAAAATCACAACGAATATGTCTCATTATGCTAAAGGGACAATACCCAATCGAAAACACTCGAAATTAACGAATTTGACAAAACCCGAGCCCCGGGCCCACGTCTCGAAACTCAGAAATTTTTACGTCATCGGGTTCCTTATCATGCCACGAGTCTATACATACAAAAATCTCTCAAATCATACCACAAATGGCCCCTCAAATCCCAAATTTTGAATTTCAATTTCAAGCCCTAATTTCTTACAATTTGGCTATATTTTCATAAATTTCAAGGATGATTTCACAATATAATCATGTATTTAGTTCATAGGACTTACCTCCAATCACTTCCTGTCAAAACCCCTTCAATTCTCGTCCAAAAGCTCTCAAGGTTGCTCAAAAATGGAGGAAATGGGTTTGGATTCGCGGATGAAAAACATTCTGCCCGGATCGATGTAGCTGACTCTATGCGATCGCATTCAAGCCCCTGCGATCGCATAGACCAAAAATTCCATGGTCTCAAATTACCCTATGCGATCGCAACAGGCCCTATGCGATCGCAGTGCCTTACCAAATAATACTATGCGATCGCAACCACTCTATGCGATCGCATTGAACAACCAAACAACCCTAAAATCCTTCTATGCGATCACAGCCCTTTGTGCTATGCGATCGCATAGAGCAAAATTGCTCTGCACTGACTGCTGCATTTATGCAGCATTTTCCAACTTCAAGAATTCCCGTTAACCATCCGAAATCACCCCGAGGCCCCTGGGACCTCAACAAAAAGTGTCAACTCATCCTAAAATATCATTCAAACTTGTTCCAATCATCAAAACACCACGAACAACACCAAAACCATCAAATTACATAGGATTCAAGCCTAAATTTCTTAAAAACTTCCGAAATACGCATTTGATCAAAAACCCGACCAAACGATGTCCGAATGACCTGAAATTTTGCACACATATCCAAAATCACCTAACGAAGCCACAGCAACTCTCGGAATTCCATTCTAACCCTCGGATCAAAATCTCACCCCTCGACCGGAATTCGCCAAAATACTAACTTCGCCAATTCAAGCCTAATTCTACACCGGACCTCCAAAATCAATTCCGATCACGCTCCTAAGTCACAAATCATCCCCCGAAGCTAACTGAAACATCAGAATTCAAATCCGATCCCTCTAACACATAAGTTAACGTCCGGTTGAATTTTCCAACACAAACCTTCCTTAAAGGGACTAAGTGTCTCATTTATTATCAAAACCACTCCAATTCATCTCGTCCACACAAGACATTGATAATTAAGCATAACAAAATAGGTAGTGGGGAAAACGGGGCGGTAACTCACGAGACGACGGGTCGGGTCGTCTCAACCTCCCCAACTTAAACAAACGCTCATCCTCGAGCGTACCTAGAGTTGTCCTAGAAGCCAACCAATAGCTGGATAACCTTACCAAGCGTATACCCAGGGTGATCCCACGTCACCCTATCTCTCATAGGTCCGATAACACCACATAGCTGAAATTTTACAATCCATCTAGTCTGTAAACCATAGAACCACATTGCACTTTCCAAAACCATACACACGATCAGAACCTCACATCTATACTCAAAGTAAGCCCGAACCAGCTGTAATAACCCATAACTGCAACCTCGGTGCCATTACATGATAAACCACCTAGCTCTAATGCTCGTAACCATAACCTCTATTCGCAGTAGCTGCACACAACACCTAAATACCGATAGAGAAACTCTTATCGACTGAAGTCTCATTCCAACACTTTCATATACTGCTAACGATACTTTAACACACAATAAACCGAAACCATTTCTCAGGTTAACCATTCATGAGGCCACTTCCCCTCTGGCAATTACCATAGCAAATTTGAACCGAACCTCGATATTAACCCCTTAAACATGCTGAATTCGAATCTGTTTGTATTCATTGATGATCCCAATGATCCCTTCTGACCAAATACACCATCCAGGTGACATGACACATCAATATGAGCCTAAGCCACAACTTGCATAATACGCGCACTAATAAGAAACGGTCTGAACATACTCAAATCATGAAAAATGACTCAAACGAAAGAGCTGTGCCTCAAGCTCATCTGTACCATCACAACACAAGGCTGAGACCTCGTCTCACATCATAGAAATAGAACACCTGAATCTACCCCGAACGGTCATATCTCCACGTGGCCTCGCCACAATGCACGATCCTATCCAAACACTGTTACACATGAAACCCACTCAAGTCACTATGCTCAAAACCGACAGCCACGCACAATTTGATGTCTGGAACCAAAGCAATTCATTACACCCACAGTGAAACAAATAACATACGCCACGCAACTCGATAGGTCATAACCAATACTCCATTTACCGCACAACACCCAATTACTCTTCTCGCTCGACTTTCACTATGAATCCCCCAATAGAACCGCACTACATGTGCCCATAACCAACAAATCATGACGTCTCACTACACTGAAAAGCAACTCATAGCTCTCCTCATATCACTAACAAGCTCAATAACGATCGAATCAACCTATCCCGCAACAATACAATTCGGGGCCAACTAAGCCAACTCAAGCTAAACGAGTATCCAGATCGGCCTATCAGCGAACTCATTACCAAGAAAGCCTAGCTTCTCCTTCCCTACTATAACTCTTGTCGGAGCCGTACGATACGGTGCCCGGCACCAAATAAATATCGAAATCCACAACCTCGCCTGGCGACATGACCAGCCACAAGAAACGCATCTGAACAGTCCCTTAACACCGGTACGGAACCAATGGTAAAAACCTCTGCACTGACAATCATCACGAAGGCCCAATTAAGAAAAACAATCCTTCCCAGTCGCCCGCTGGGTCTTTGAAATATAAGCCACTCTACTAGAACATAATCCAATGCACCTCGCCACTCAACCCGTGGCATTTCCGGCATAGCCCCTAGCGCAATAGTTCAGAATCACCTAATACTCAGACAACCAGTCTGAATTTCAACATCACA